CATTGAGAAAAATATGCATTTTCAAATTTATCTAGATTAATATGGATGTAGCCTAATATTTACATTAATAAATCTGATGACACTACTCACTCCTGTTACTTTTATTCAGTTACTATATATAAATATAGGATAAATGAGTATATGAGTAACAGGACTGAAAGTAACACGATTGAGATTTTAGGATAAAATTAGCAAATACATATAATCTAGCCACATGGAGTACGTGCTAATATTATGAGAATACTCCACAAACTATAGTGATTCACCAAAGATTTGTATTTTTTAAATAAACAAGTAACATCTAAGAAATAATTTAGGTAACAGGACAGTATATTTATAATGATGCTCCCAGCCACCGTTACAATATCATCAAATATACAGAAAAGAAAATAAGACCACATGCTTTCGGTCATTTCATTGCCTTCAGAAGATCCAGATGTTGCAATATTATGTTGAAAATGGGTCTTGTAGAATTTTCTCAGTTTTTTAGAGGGTATTAGGGTAACAGGACTGAGTGAAACCCTGGGGACACGGCTAAAATGTGTATTTTATCAAAAATATTATACATTTCTTTTTAAATAAATGTATTTACGAGGCTACTCCTGCTAGTTTGGATGATCTCTTGGGGCTTGGAGGTGGGGTCAGTCATCTGCTATCTTTACTGTACAACTCATTGTTGTCAAAGAACTTACCTTCTACAGAGAGTTTAAAATTGCAGTGGGAGCAAGAATTGGGGGAGGAGATATGTTCAGAATCCTGGGCTGATGCACTAGAGAATATTCATACATGCTCTGTCAACTCTAGGCATTGCCTTATACAATTTAAGATTATCCATCGACTCCATTATACTAAAACAAAATTACATAGACTTTTTCCAGATGTCTCCCCATATTGTGACAAATGTCAGACTGATATAGCTACTCCCTTGCATAGTTATGCTCTTTGTTCTAAGTTAATCTCATTCTGGACTGAAGTATTTAAAACTCTGTCAGATATTTTACAACGTGTATTAGAGCCCGACCCACTTCTTGTGATATTTGGAATTTCTGATAAAATCATGTCACTTAAAAAATCTGAACAACAGTTGCTGTCCTATGGACTTATTATAGAAATGGCACCCATTCGGTGGAATGTTTATTTCTTGGTAATCACATTGGGACATGGAAAATATACTTTTATTAACAACAGTAACGTGTGCAAAATCTA